GTGCAATGGAAGAGATGGACCACGATTTGTTTGCTTGTTACGAGGAGAAGAGAGGCAACTCGGCATCGCAGCAGCGTCGACGCAGGACGGTGCGGCAAAGGGGTTGTTGCTGCACGTACAGGCCGTGGCGGCGGCCATGGAAGTGTCAATATGTCATGTTTGATACGCCTCAGACCCGACACAGCAGCCGGCATAGACCCAGGGTTCATTCACAGTGGGCAGCCCCGGACTCGTCGCTGCTCTGGCGTAAACTGTTTTTCTGTTCTAGGGCTCGTCGTAACCCAAGCTTTGGCCCGCTGCTGTCCCAAATCGCTCGAATGCCTACTTGAAGCCCTGAACCCCCCGAGCACGACGGAGGCCGTCTTTCGCACTTTCTCTTCCTCTATTGTTCTCTCTCTTTCCTGTACAATTTTCTAACGCTGCAACTACCTTTCCATCGATACAGCTCTTGCGGCGGCGGCTGCCATCAAACTCTCGTTAGGGATCGAAACTTGGTGTTCCTTGCCGTGCATCAGACGCTCTTTAGACATCTCCCGCGCCGGCTCTCGGCTGCACCTCGACTTTGGTGTTCTCGCAAGCCATTGCAGTAGTCTGCTATCCACGCTTTTTCTGGTGTTGAGTCTACACACGCGCTCAGCCAGCACCAGCGCCCTGAATCTGCCTGCGCGCCTCCGCTGCTCACATCGGGGAATTATCTCGACCTTTTCTGTTGTCGTCTGCACTAGAAGCGCCCCGGTGCTCTTCTGGGGATTGTATCGACCTAGTGTTCGGCGCCATGGCCGACGATGCATCTTCGCCGGGCAGTCTAAGCTCGCCCCCGCACTCGCCTGAGGGCACTCCGACAGCAACTGTCCGCGCAGCTGCAGGTGGTGTTGGTGTTGGAACTAGCACGCCAACCCCTGCAAATGCATCGCCAGCTCCACGCGGCCTTACTGCGAACGGCCAGCCACGCAAGAAGCCTGGTCCGAAACCAAAGGCCAAAGACCCAAGTGCACCAGAGCCAGAAAAGAAGACAAGAAAGCCCCGTAAGTCGGAGCCCAAGGACCCAAATGCCGCGCCTGCGCCACGGAAGAGGAGGACAAAGGCATCGCTGGAGGCTCAGGCACAACCAGCTGCACAGATCGTCGACGAGAAACCGCCTGTGCAGCTATCACCCATACCACAGACTGGGCCCAGTGAATCCGTCCCTGCTTTGCAAGCCGAGCAACCGCCTGCAGTCGCGCAGCCAACCCGTGTGTTGAGCAATCCCGAGCCGACTCTCCACAGTAACCCAAACCTCTCCCATATCAGCGTTGCGCCATCCACACCACGGCCATCTAGTTCAGGCCAAAGATATGATCCTATCCGGGGCGACACCTTTGAGTCAAAACCGCAGCCTCCAGCAAGCGCCCCTCCGCCGCCTGTTTCACCCCCGATCAACCACCGTGCGAGTGCGTCACCTTCCATCACAAGTCTCATTGACCCGCCGTCTGCCAGCAACTCCTTCTATTCACATCCTGCCAAGCTTCAGCAACAGGCATCTATCACATCCGCACCCGTGTCACCTGCCGCCTTCTCCACGCGACCAGCGTCGGTCCTTCCTTCTCAAGACTACTCACCTCAACTCCAACAACAGCAACCGCAAACATCACTTCAAAACCAGCCTCAGCCGTATCCCACTGCATCATCAGGCCCAACTCCCATGGACATTGACACCGAGCCCAGTAAGCCAGCATCCGTCCCAATGGCAAAAGAAAATTCCACAAACTCCGGTACCCTCTCACAATCCAATGCTCCCACTCCACCCGCCAAAACCGTCCGCCAGAAAGAGGCCCCACCACCGCTGCCTTCCGGTAGCGGCCTCTTGTCAGGAACGCCCTTCGGTCCTGTTGCCAACGCCAACGGCACTTCTGAGACCCAAGGCACTAACATCTACCTTACTTTCGACCTGAAGGGACGCGAAAACGTCACCATTAACTTTGCGCAAGAGGTTGAGAGGAAGTACGGCTTCGCTGCTCTGCATCCTCGCATCGCCGCACGAAAAGAGCGCCAGCGTCAGATCACGGCAGCGGGTGCAGCACTCGAGCGGGCTGCAGGTGGGGGCTCAAACGACGATCAGTCTGTCGACTTATCGGAAAACGAAAGCAACGTCGAGATGGGCGGCATGGACGATGAGACTTCGGCCAAGGAGAACGGAGGCAAGAAGCGACGCAAGCGCAAGCAAGAGGATTACGACAAGGAGGACGACTTCATCGATGATACTGAGCTGGCTTGGGAACAACAAGCGCTCATGGCGAAAGACGGCTTCTTCGTCTACAGTGGCCCACTCGTTACCGAGGAGAAGCCAACTGTGGAGAGGTACGTGACCACCACAACTTCAGACCAGACTAAGCTAACATTGAGTAGGGCCGATGGCACCGTTCGACGTGGACGTGGACGTGGACGTGGCGGCACCGTACGAGGCGACGCGTCAGGTCGTGGTAGAGGGCGTGGAGGCGGTCCAGGTTCTCGTGGTGGTTCTACTGTCCGCAAGCCCCGCGTTACTAAGGCTGATCGTGCACAAATGGAACAGGAGAAGGCAGCTCGAGAGTCTATGGCTAAAACCCTGACCAACATGTCTACTCACGCCGGCCAGGCTAGCGCCATGTAGCACACCGGCCTTCGCCAAACGGTCAACCCTGAGTACGGTCGGGTGTGTCACTTTGACTATCATTCGCATCAGGAACCCCAGCATGGGCTTCCATTTCCTGTTCGATTTCCTGTATTGTTTAGTTATCTGTAAGATACCGTTGGCTAGGCAGATGGCTCGGTCGACACCGCAATAGCCACCCAGCCAGCAGGTCATCAAGTCGGAGGGCGTTCGTGTAGGCATTACTTTAGCCGGCGTTATTCTCACGACGGTTCATAGTCGTTTTCAAGACCATAGAACTATTACTCCAAAATCAGGATTACTTTCTATTGCTGTTTGTGAGGTTCTCTCTGTGGGATCGTTGTCAAGAGTGATTCGGGCATAAGACATGCGCGGACAGGAATCTAAAGCTCTAACCGCATCTCGGGCGCCGCACTCTCTCAGTGAGGGCTCGCTGCGTTTGTTTGACCTTAAGCGGTGAGTGCGGCTCCTGCCTTCTGTCCAGCTGCTCTTACCTCAAGCACTTCTAGGTCACGCTCGCGTATACCATCTTGCACACCACGCTCACAAAGATTACTACCTCCCCGTTCGTGGTCTCAACCAGTTCCGGTATCTCATCTCTATTGCACAACTGTTACTCAGTCTATACACTGAAGGCGTTCCGAGCAATACAATAGGTGATTAGTAAAGTATCATGGTCGGCCTGGCAGCTTACTACACCCCTCTACCCGTCGACGTAGCCCTCAGCGAGCACTCACGCAAGTTCTACGATGGGACGTACAAATGGGATTCAGAAGGCTTCACCGATGACGCCGGAGGTAAGTGCGATGTACAACCTCGCGAATGCTTCCACGACTGACTAGTCCAGTTTATCGCGAATTCGACTGCTACGACCCTGATGCTCGTGCTCCCACACCCTTGCCACGGCTGTGCTTGAGCGACGACGATGAAGAGACTGGTACTGTGGAAGAGAAGATCCACGATGGAGAATACGAAACCGAGAGAATGGAAGAGGACCCTGAAATCTTCACGTTCGCATCAAATGTCAAGAGCGCGGGTGGCGTTATCACTTTACGACGTGATGAGCTATTTCGTGGTCATGCTGATAGAGAGCATCTCATTGGCAAAATGGAGAGTGCTTTGATCGAAAGCAGGTACGTACCTTATTAAAGCACGTCAAACACCCGATCCACGCAGCTAGGAGCCTACACGAGGGACAAAACTCCACTGTCGCGCGTTTTGACACCATTACAGGCTCACAGCCAGCGCAGATAAGCTAACTTGAACAACAGATCAAAGAAGGTACACTTGACTCTGGAAGAGTGCTGCGGCGTGTGCGGTATACCCGAACACCTCAATCCCGTTGAAAAGTCGCCAACAAAACTGAAGATCAAATTCGTCACGCCTTTGAAAGCAACCAAACCGGACCCACGCATGTTCTTCTCACCTTCGGAGTTGTCGGACTGTCCTTCGGACATATCAGAGTGGGATGTCGGCAAACCCGTAAGTAGACAAGAGGCTTTCTGGGCCGAGAATCTCTATCATTACATGTCACTGGAACCGGGACTGACATAAGCTACAGGTGTTAAAGGCGAGAACTTTTGCGAACCTAGTTATCGACGAAAAGCTCGAACAAGGCACCGATGAGGAATCACCACAGAAGCCTACAACCCGCGGCGTCGCACAGAAAGTCAAGAGACAGAAGTCGGCGGCCAGGCCAATCAAGGCGTCGCCTTCGATTGAGTCACTACAAACTGGCAGCTATATTAGGGGCACTGGGGAGGCATCAAGGCGTCGGTCCACGAGACTTAGTAGCTCTCAAGGTGGCAAGTAGCTTGCTATCTTGACTTGAGGCGTTTGGCGATATTTTCGGTCATGAGGAGGTTTCAATCTTTTGTGATGTCCTCTGAGACAATATCAGGCCGAGAAGAAAGGAAAAGTGTTCAAGCGCTATTGGGAAGCATCTTGATTGGCATTGGAAAAAGAGCGAGGTCGATCAATGAAGTGCGAGATTGCGATATGATACCCCAATAACAACAGTCCCATCTATGTCCACCAAACCCGTCACCTTCCCAGAAATATATCGCCACACCTCTCCGTTTCAGCATGTTCATGATAAAGCGCACACCTCGCGCCCCTCCAAGGCTTACAAGCCTCCCACTTCTTCACCTTCTTCCCGCTATTCTCTTCTCCACTCGTCCCTTCCTCTTCCACAACCTCAAACCTCCCAACTTCCCACCGCGCCATCGCAACACCTCCCTGAACACAAGCCGTACAAAACGCCACACAGCAATCGTCACAAGCCACCGCTCCACACCTAGGCAGTAGCACAACTCCACAGTAGTCACATCCGCGAGTCGTGTGCCAGGACATGGGACACCACATGCGCAATCTATGCCGCTGCATAGCCTGCGCACACGGTCTTTTCAGATGCACAGTCAGATCGCGGAGGAACTCTGCATGCCACAGCCCCGCATGCAATTCCAGCAATCGATCTGTCTTTTTGAACGCAAAAAGATCCAGCACGAGAGTACGGATGGGCGCCGATTCGCGGATGTCTTCGTATAGGATACGTGTATCGGAGGGTGTTAGCACGCTGTTCGTTTCGTCGGCAAGATCGCTTATTGTGTCTATGATGGCGTTTCTCGCGCCTTCTAGTCCTAGTCGGTCGGCTAGGGCGTAGACGTGTAGGAGAGTGTAGTATGCTGGTTTTCGGTCTTTGTAGGGGATCGGTACTGCTTGCTCGTAGAGCCAGGTGACGAGGAGTTGGAAGTCGTCGACTGCGACATCGTCGAGTGTTATGCTGTTGTTGCTAGATTCTGCAAAGGGTCCGGTGAGCGCGACACGGAAGTAGGATGATTTTGATGTGAGGAGGCTGGTTTGGATCTGGAAAGGTATGAGTTGAGGGCCGACGAGGATTGTGCTGGTAGTGGTGAAGTCGGAAACGTTCGCTCTGGTCAGGTACGAACTTGAGTTGCCTCGTTGTGTAGGTCGACTGCCTTTGAATGTGTATGGCGGTGGGAGGTTTGGAAATGGAATGCGACTGGGGTCGTTACCAACACTGCGTGGGCTGGTATTGCGCGTCATGGCTTGTGAGTCAGTCGTGCAAGACCCTACTCCCTTGCAGGATTATCGATCGTGGTCCGTCAAACGCGCAAGCTAGTATCGATCGACTCTCTGTTTAAAGTTGGAGAAATTTGGCGGAGATTTGGTATGGGTTAGCAGTATCCTCGAGCTTTGAAGAGGGGGATACAGTCATCACAGGCAGACCGTCATTCAGAGTCACGAAACGTTGTTTCGAAATGTATCCTTGACCGCACCCACGGCAGTGACAACGAACAAACTTCTTTGCGGAACTTCATTGAGTGAACAATCACCTTGTGTGCATGCACGGATGACGAACGGTGGCTTTGTTGTTGGCCCAGCAAACGCCGCGCCGTAACCGGGTCTTTGTCTCGACACGGACCTTTGGAATGAAACAGAACGATCAAACGACACGACAAGCCATGGGGCTAGAAAAGATAGTTCGGACAGTGATGAGTGGAAAAGCGCTATATGCGTTTGTTTGGCATTCGATGATACCCAAGTCGTGTTCCTCGTAGATTAAGGCTAAGACAACCCATATGAGGCTGGTGCCTCGAGCTGCCTAGTACTCCGATCGTCCCTTTCGCGTTCTGATGATTGCTTGCAAGATAGTGTTGCACGTCAGAGAATGATGTATGAAGGGCAATCTCACCAACTATTTTACACTTCCGCTAACGCCCCCGAGTAGCTCAATTATTGAGATGCGTTATATGTTTATACATGAGACTTTTGTTACTTCGTGAAAGCTTCGGCAAAGCGTCGGTTTATATTGTCTGAGCCGGGTTTTAAACGTTGACGATGCTGCTCGATTCGGTTCGAGCTTAGGCAACGAAATTCTTGATGTCTGGTGGTTTGTTAGCTCTTGTCACTGAAACCGAGAAACGTAAGCGCGACTTACTGTTGAGCCACTGAATGTACTCCTTCTGCTCCTTGTGGTCAATGTAGTCGGGGATGAACAGGGCAAGACGGGTGTTGATGCCACGCTCCTCGAGGTACTTCTCAAGGAGAATCTGGAGGTCTTCGTCTAGGTTGTTGAAAGGAGGGCCCTGCTAAAAGTTAGACTCGTTACGATCTAGATGCAACATTTGCACTTACAGTGTAGAGAGCGCGTCTTGACCAGTCCTTCTCGGCAGTGGCGGGGTCGGCGAGATCGGCAGTAGGGAAGTAGTAGAGGTCCTCGATGAGGAAGTCGCCGTCCTGGGCGGTGGCCTCGATAGCGAGAGCACCCTTGCCGAGACGCTCGATGCGAATGCTAGCGTGAGCGGGGAAGCCCTGCTGTTGGCCATCATCCTCGTAGTCGTCCTCAAGTTCCTCGCGATCAGCGGGAGAAACACGGTCCTCGGGAGCTACGCGAATGTTTCCGTCTTGTGTGGTGCCTTGGTTGATGGCGCCCTTGGTGTTGGCGCCGCCAGACTGCACATCCATGTCGGCATCGTCGTACATGGCATTGTCCTCAGTAAGCTCATCGCTGGGCTGGTTGTTGTTGAGGTCGGCGGTGGTGAAGGTGATTCGGATCTTCTCGTCGTTGTATGTGCGGGTAAGGACGACTTCCTGGTTGCCTGCCTTGTCCTCAATCTAATGGCTGTTAGCATTCGGCCAGTAGCAATGGTGATGTAGGATCTTACCTCGAAAGGGCTGTTCTCAAGGTACTCCTTGATGTTGGCAGAGAGATCCTCGTCCTCCTTCATGCCCTCCTCCATGGAGATCTCGCTCTGGATCTTTGCGACAAGCTCTTCATTGACTAAATCGCGTTAGCCGTGTTCTCTCACTTAATGTATCCTATACGTACTACCGCTGTCTTGCCTCCGCGCCGCTGACATGTGGAAAGAAGCTGTGAGGCGGGGAATTGGGGCAGCCCATGCTGGCTGGAAAGCTGACGTCTGTCGCAGCGACGACTGCGGGCGGACGGCTTTGGTGGAGAAACGGGCAGCAGACCGCGGGGCGCTGCGGGCGAGGTTGCGTAGGGACATCATGGTGGACTAAACGTGTGACTGGAATGGAACTTCAAGATGGCGATGCGATAGATGGCTCTCGAAAGCGTAACTTTTCGATGGCCCAAGCGCAGGCGGGCTGATGTCAAGCGGGATGCTTGGCGCCGAAATGCGGGCCCGCTGCTCACCTCCGTCCTCGGCCGTCTTCAAGACGATGGAATCAGTATTTTGTGAACCTTAAGAAATCTAGTTCACGTTGGCGCGTCGAGATTCCTCCAACTGTGGTTCCTGTCGTTTTTCAAAGAATCTACATTGGTTTCGAGTGCAAGACCAATACTACGTCACTGCGCCGAATTCCTATTACCGCACGCGACGTAGACACGCCAAAACTTTCCCGCGTAATTGCTGCGCGTACAAACCTACTCCTAGCACCACCGGAGGCTGCTCGAATTGAAACGTCATGGCGACCGCAACGACCGAGAAGAAGAAGCCAAGCGCAATGCGCTCAATCCTGGCAGGTGCAACTGCAGGTGCCGTAGAGATTTGTAAAGCATGCGCCCAGGTCGTAATCTGATTCATGACTGACCCTGGACCAGCAATCACATACCCCGCTGAGTGTACGCACCGCATCGTATCCGCTTACATGACCAAGTCGAACCTGACCCCAACATAGTCGCAAAGACACGATCGCAACTCAACCGAAGATTACCTGATGGAAAGAAGCTGCCATGGCCGCCGTTCGGCAAGCAGTGGTACGCTGGATGCACAACCTTGATCATCGGCAACTCTCTGAAGGCGGGCATAAGTACGTCGTGGAGATAATGGGAAGGCGACTGTCTGACATTCTACGCAGGATTTGTCGCATTCGACATGTACAGGAATATGCTGGCAGACGCTGAGGGCAAAGTCTCCGGTCCAGCGACAGTCATAGCTGGTTTCGGTGCAGGAGCTACAGAGTCGCTATTAGCTGTGACTCCGTTCGAGAGTATCAAAACCCAACTGTAAGCAGCCTCGGTCGCATTTACATATCGTCACTGACTCATCCGCCTAGTATTGACGACCGCAAGTCGGCAAACCCACGCATGCGAGGCTTCCTGCACGGATCAAGAATAATTGCACAAGAAAAGGGCATTCGCGGCTTCTTCCAAGGTTTCCTCCCAACGACTGCACGTCAAGCAGCCAACTCGGCCGTTCGCTTCTCCAGTTACACATCGCTCAAGCAGCTAGCGCAGTCATATGTCACCCCAGGAGAGAAGCTCGGTGCCTTCAGCACATTCGGACTCGGAGGACTCGCAGGTATAATAACCGTCTACACTACGATGCCTATCGACACAGTCAAGACACGCATGCAGTCAATAGAAGCACGGAGCTCTTACAAGAACAGCTTCGACTGTGTAGCCAAGATCTTCAGAGACGAGGGGCTCTTCACCTTCTGGTCAGGAGCACTTCCAAGGTTGGGTCGGCTGATCCTCAGTGGTGGCATCGTCTTCACCATGTACGAAAAGTCCATGGAGCTCATGGACAAGTTTGATCCCCAGGGACGTTACATATAAATTTCGCGCATATATCTAGAGCCAGTAGCGAGTGCATTATCCGTTCGCCTGGTGTTCTACCTCCATTTGCGACTGTGTTACACTATTGGTCTGGATCCCATTGGCTTGTCTGCATTCCTCGCTTCCCCTCCTCCAGATTGCCCAAGCGCCACCACTTCAGGACATGTAATGCATTCAAATGAAAAGATAGGTTCTAACACAACATGAGTTGGCCTTCCCTGGTGACAACGGGTCAGAGGATCTTTTCCACAATGGGCTTCTGTCACTTGCATATCGACTGCCATGATCCAATGGAAAGTGGACCAAGGCTGAATCGATAAACATGAGACTTCCGTGTCGGTAGTTATTGGGTTTCGTGGCACCTTGTTTCGTTGAGATATGCAGGAACTTCACCGGTTTCTGCAAAGGCTAGCACCGCTTACACGACGGTATATCTTGTCGAACCACATTACAGAAGGCGTTTTCAGGCAATACTAGGTGCAGTCTGCGAATCGGAAAGTACGACCTGCTGCCTTCTTCATAAGTCTTTTATGGCGCGCACCTACTCGTCTCTTCTTCATCGGTATCGCTGTGTCCAGAATCATCAAACAACCACTCTCTGTCCGATATAGATGTACCGCATTCCTTGATGTTTTAACAACCACATACGGTACCAACAAATTATAACCATGCCTCCAGTTGTATTCATATCAACTCCAGAAGAGCTTTCTCTCATCCTAGCAACGCTCGACGACCTGCCAGTATCCCCACCAAGTCTGTACATCGATCTGGAGGGCGCGAAGCTCAGCAGGAATGGTTCTATCGCTCTACTAACACTGTATGTACTACCCAAGGAGACTGTGTATCTCATCGACATCCATACTCTGGGCGCTCGCGCATTCTCAACACCAGCCACTGCAGCAACAGCAAGCGTGACTGCGCCTCTTGATACTACGCCCAGCACAACAAACCTCACTGAAGACGCCGGAAAGTCTTCCACAACTCTGAAGTCTATCTTGGAATCACCAGCAATTCCCAAAGTCTTCTTCGATGTACGCAACGACTCCGACGCCCTCTTCTCCCACTACGCCATCTCCCTCTCCTGCATCCACGACATCCAACTCATGGAGCTAGCAACTACCACGCGCGGTTCCCGTGAACACCTCCTGGGCTTGGGCAAAGCCATCGACTACAACGCCTCACGCTTGAATATAACACCAATGCAGAGGCAAGTCTGCAGCGCCATCAAAGAGGCTGGTGTCAGGCTCTTCGCTCCGGAACGAGGTGGGAGATATGCGGTCTTTGAAGAGAGGCCGCTGAGCCAAGCGATCAAGGATTACTGTGTGCAAGATGTGGTGCATATGCCTGGACTATGGAAGCTTTATGGTAGTAGGATGGCAGAAGGGGGCTTTTGGTGGATCATGGCGCTGGAGGGTGCGGCGAGCAGGGTAGAGGAGACTCATCAGGCGGGATATCTACCACACGGAGATCACAAGAGGCACGGGCCCTGGACTGATAAGCAGATCAAAGAGGCGATGCG